TTGTTTTTTCTTATGAAAATTCTTAGAGTGATCTCACATGCCATTGTGCCCTAATCTCAAAATCTCACTTTGTGTAAAAAACCCACATGACAGACCATGCCTCCACACAGTCCCACCTGGACAAAGTTCAAGGCAGACAGATACGATGTAACCTGGAAGCAAAACTGTAAATGTCCTAAGACATGACAGGGCCCTCTGAAGAGCTGATGAGCTTCTGGCTGCCGGCTGCTCCACCTTTCCTCACACCGGTCACAGCACCACACCTACCCTTATATAGCCAAGCCACAAAGACTCGATAAAACGATTTTCCTCTAAACACGTTAGGAAATAAAGGACATGGTCTGTTTGTGCAAATCGTGCCAGGTTCCAGTTGATGGGCACAAGCTAGAGGCATGGAGAAGCCAAGGCCCCACGACAGGGCTGCTGTGAAGAGTACTTGCCGGGAGAACCCGAGCCCAGCAAGGTCTTCTGCAGAGTCCCTTCACAGTGACCTCAGTGAAGGTTTCAATGCAACCAAGTATTGCTCTGGCCTCTCAGGAGACACAGAACCCTCTTACACCCAGGTTTCTTCCACCCTCCTCCAACCCCAACGCACGCACGCACGCACGCACGCACGCACGCACATGCATGTGCACACGCACACAGAAGCAGCCAGGACATATGACATAGTGGAAAACATGGAGACTTACATAAAATTCCTTTTCCTTCAGCAGCTCTTGGAAGCTGCTCCATCTCCACAGAGAGAGTGCAGCACTCTGCCAGTCTGCAGAAGGAAGGTACAAGGGTCTCCAGGAGACGGAGGCTGTGTGTTCTGGAGGACAAGGTGCTCTGGCCTCTGAGAACACCCTTAGCATAATGAACTGAAACTGAAACAGTGACAGGTTCACAGTGAGACAGGGGAACAGTCAGAGACACCCAGAGAACCCACCAGGAGATCTGTCTGTCATCCCGTAGGGGACCCAAACCAGCCTGACATACGCAGCATTTCGGTGAGCAGGAAAAGAGGAGGAAGAGGGGAGGAGGCAGGCACTTCTCCCTGGGGTCTTCCTAAAACCTGGCCTTTCTGGTGAAATTTGGGGGTGGATGTTTTGTTGAGAGGCCTGTAACTCCAGCTCAAGAAGTTCTGAAGCCCTCTTCTGGCCTAACCTGTTCTCCCCACCCTCATACAATTAAAAAAAATAAAATAAATGAAGAAAAAACTTTCACAAAGCCTCCTGCTTCAGCATCTCAAAGATGTTTTCTCTTTGATTTCTAATGTGGAGCCTACAGTCAAAATCCAATGGTTATACACAAGAGGCGCCCATCAAAATTCTAGGAGTCTGAAGTAATAACTTGGTGGTAGGGCACTTGCTTAGTACATGTGAGACCCGAAGTTTGATCCCAGAACTGAAAAAACAAAACAAAACAAAAACCGAACCAACCAGCCAAACAAACAAACCTCTCAAAAAAAAACCATACAGAGGGATACCTGTGGTTTAAGGGGAAAGAGTATTTCGTTTTTTAATGAATTCTTAACTTTTAACTTACCTGTGCTATAAACATCAGTATCTATTCAAAGGACTAGCATGTACTTAACTACTGACATCTTAGCCCCAACTTAAACTGAGAAAGAGATACAGGAGCAGTATTCAGCACGAAAAACTCCCCAAGCAGACAGCCAGGCTGTCCCAGAGACAGCCTGATGAACGGTGCACCCATAAACTGAGGTAAACACAAGAAAGCTGCAGAACCCAGAGTCCTTCAGGTCGGAAAGCAGGGATCTGAAACACATACCCTTTTGATCAGGCCTGGAGATAAACAGCTGCGCAAGGCAGCCAGGGGCCGTGCAGTGAACTTGCGTAAACAGTAGGAAATTGCTGCTGTACAGAATCTGCAATGAGGGAAAAGTAAACTGAATTTACCAAACCGTCTTCGGTGTGTTCTGAACTAGATGATTGAAAGAACTGCTGGACCACCCTGGCTTCAGGCTCAGTGTCTCCTGAGAGGGAGATGCTGCCTCCAAAGGCTCACATCCACACTGAAGGCAGGGAACGACAGGCACACAACAGCATGTGTGAGCAAAGGCACGCTCACTGGACAGGTGTGAAGAGCCACAGCAAGACACAAAAGGAGGGAAGCATACACTGCCCGGCTCTTGGGTGGGTCAGGGAGCAGGTCATTCAGTGGAGGGCACAGACAGCAAGGCTGCTGCAGGCATCTCTAGCTCAGCGAGCGAGCGAGCGAACGAGCGAGCGAGCATCACTTGTGTTCTTTTGTGAGAGTCTCAAGAACTCGCAGGCTCCACGTCTTGGGAGAACACAGTATCTGTGAGCACAGCGCAGCCTCATGTGGCTCTGGCCACTAGGAGACATGACCGATGACAATACTGTGTGCAGAAGCAAAAGATGACATGGAAGCGAGCACAGGGGCCTTTGTCCCAATGCCTGACCTGGGGAAGAGGACTCGCTTGGGGGATCAGACAATTAGAGAATATTGCAGTTTTCTGTATGGCTTAGTTTATTTATACAAATAGCTAAAGCTTAAAAGTGAGCAAAGATGAGGCTAGACAAATATTATTGTGAACCTGAGTAAACTGTAGGAATTTATTAATCTGTCTTAAAATTAATTAATTTTGTTTTATTTTATGTGCATTGGTGTCTTGCCTGCATGCATGGTCTGTTTGAGGGTGTCAGATCCCCTAGAACTGGAGTTACAGACAGCTGTGAGCTGCCATGTGGGTGCTGGGAATTGAACCTAGGTCCTCTGTTAGGGCAGCCAGTGTTCTTAACCACTGAGCCATCTCTGCAGCCCTGGAATTTATAAATCTTGATTATCAAATATACCTTATTTATCTTGTTTTATGAATTCTCTGTTTAGTTCTTTAGCCCATTTTTTAATTGGATTGTTCAGTATTTTGATGTCTAGTTTCTTGAGTTCTTTATATACTGTGGAGGTCAATCCTCTGTCAGATGTGGGGTTGGTGAAGATCTTTTCCCATTCTGTACCTTATTTATCAAGCATATGTTACTTATCTAAATTTCCTAGCAGCTTGGTGTTAACTTATGTGGGAGTAGGCAGTTATCAAGCTCTAATGGTTCCACAGTGGTGGGGATCTTTCCCAAAGAATTATTTTGTTTAGAGAGGCTGCCATTTTATACATTTTCATCCTTCAAAGCACACACAAAAACAAGACAGCCAAACAACCTCCACCATAGGACACCCAGGATATCCTTTGCCAAGGATAGCATAATGATATGGAAAGATGTTTACAGTAGTGTTAATGTCAGTAACAACTTTCAACTTCAGCAGTCCCTAAAGCACAAACATAAACACCTAAATAAAATAAAAACTAAAATATTAAGGGATGACTCTTGGGTGACTCATTTTCTGCACCTCTCTCTCTAATTTGGTACTAGGGATTGAACCCAGGGCCTTATTCAAGCTGAGCATAGATGCTATCACTGACTATGTATGCCCCATCCCTGGGCTCTCTCTCTCTCTCTCTCTCTCTCTCTCTCTCTCTCTCTCTCTCTCTCTCTTTTAATTTTTGGTGATTTCATTTTTCTTTTATGTGTATAAATGTTTTGCCTGCACAGATGGCTGTGCACCAGGCATGCACAATGCCCATAGAGGCCAGACGAGGGAGGCAGAGTCTCTAGAACTGGAGCTAGAAATGGTGAGCTACCATGTGGGTGCTGGAATAGAACCCGGGTCCTCTGGAAGAGCAGCCAGTGTGTTTAACCACTGAGCTGCCTCTCCAACCACATGGTCTCTCATAATTGCATTTGCTGAGTATTTCTCACTTTTCAAGAGGGGGAAAAACTGCTGAGGAACTCAGGAATGACTTACTTCATGCAGAAGAGCAGAGATTCCCTCGTGCGGCAGGTCAGGAGGCTGTTCAAGAACTCAGGGACATCAAGGCTGCCGGTGGAGGCAAGAACACCGGGATTCACCTCTGGAAGTATGGACTTGGACTCGCCCAGATGGACGGCAAGGGCAGCCAACCCCAGCACATGAGGCGTGCTCAGGCTTGGGCCCTGAAAGAAGGACAGAGTTAACGATAGTCTGTTCCCTAGCTAGAAGACTCGAAAATCACTGAAAAGCGGCATTAGTGGAGGCTCACAGCAGCTGGAGAAGCGACCTGCAGGATGCAGGCACCTACCTGGTGATGGAGCAGCTGGCAGAGCCGAGTGAGCACTGCAGGGAAAAGCACGTGTCCACAAAGGGTCCTCACGAAAAGGACAGCCCAGGGGCTCTGCCTGCAAAGACAGAGAACAAGTCACTGGCTGGTCGCAGCCCTGTCCAGTCCTTCCACGACCAGTCTGGGCACAGGGGCATACAAGGCTCAGGGTTCTTCTAAACGGTGGCCTTTATGTAACACAGACCATCAGTCTTCAATGCGGTCCCTACCCAACAAAACAGCCTAGTCATCCACTCTTGGAACAGAGCTTCCCTGCTTGGTCTCAGCACCCTAGGAAAGATGGAAATCACCCTTACCTCTCCGGGGGCACAAAACTAGAGGCTGCCATTTGGTTCTGACAGAAGGCTGTGAGCAGGAGATCCACAACCTGGGAAGAGAGACATCACTGTGAGGCTTTGGCCTCCTACATCTGGGAGTGACCTGAACCAAAAGAACCATGGTAAAGGCTGCACTTAATTTTGTATTTATTTTATGCATGCAGCGGCCAGAGGACAACTCTCAAGAGTCAGTTCTCTGCTACCAACCTCACAGGAAGTGGGGATCAAATTCAAGTTGTCAGGTTTGCATTTGGAAAGGAAGCTGTAATGCAGCTTAGCACCAAGTCCTGGACTGCACCAGGATATGCATTACCACACAGGCAGAACTTGAAGGTGCCCGGTGGGAAGACAGGCAAACCTTGAGTTGTCAAAGGTAAAGGAGTAAATATGGGCTTTGGGGTTAGAACCAGCCTTCGCCACACAGACTTCTTTAAAATGCAAAAACAAGCTGGTGGAACACCCCTGTAACTCTGACACTTGGGACGTGGAGACAGGAAGAGCAGGAATTTAGGTCCAGCCTCGGCTACACACAGTAAGAGTAAGGCCAGCTGGGCTACAGGAGACCCTGTCTCAAAAAAAACTTCTAAAAAGGTAAGAACACATTTAGCCACAAACAGGCAAGGGAGGCTGGCCAACTGTGGCATGGCAGTGCCTGTGTGCTCAACATCTGACCTTCTACATAACCTAAGAAGGGTCACAGCTGGTCCTAAGGCCTCACAGACATACCTCCTGGTCCTGTGTCCGGAGCGTGGGAGTAAGGATGCTGAGCTGGATCTTTGCTCTCCGGAGGCTACCATCATCGTTACTGTGACCCAAAGCAGCATTTAGTCTTTCAGAAACCACAGCCACCTGAGCAGATATAACTGCAAACAGAGAAGCCAGATACGTTCAGAGCAAGCCTGGGAAGGAGCAACATGAAGAAGCGTAGGATACTAGGTAGCACTGGCCACGCTGTTACACCCCAGCGTGGAGCCGCCTCTGAATGGAGGGAAGGATGGCCACCCTGTATCAGCCACAGCCTGTCTAAGGTGTGACTCCTCCATCTGTCTAAGCACAAAGCCCCGTAGACTGAAGGTACCCGGAGCCACTGTGAAGGCCTCGGTAAGTCACTAGGGCATGCAAACCTCTGTGGCTTTGTCAGAGCTGACCTGGCACCCATTGGTCTTTTGCTTAAGCCCTGGAACTCTTCCTAATGTTCCACAAATGCTACATTCTGAGCCGGATGTAGCGGTGAAGGCCGACAAATCCCAGCACTTGGGAGGCTGAGGCAGGAAGAACATTTGAGACTAAGGTCAGTCTGAGCAAGGGAGCAGGAGCCCACATGCACATGCACACACAAAGCCACACACAGCACCACGCTTTACACAAGCAGCCTAGGCCATTGTGCTCTGACGTCTGTATACCTGGCCCGAGGAACTGTGTCAAGGATCCACAGCCTCAGCGAAGCTGTGGCAATGCACAAGGTGGTGAACGCCTCCCTGTGAGGCTAAGCTTGGCTTCTATAAACATCAATCCACAGTAAAGTCAAGTCTATTATGCATAAAAATAGATTTTGGGTTTGGATGTGGGTCATCACACAATAAAGGATTCAGTTTTTTTTTGTTTTGTTTTTTTCCTTTTGTGTGTGTGTGTGTGTGTGTGTGTGTGTGTGTAGTGCAGGCTAGCCTTGAACTTGTGATCCTCCTGCCTCCGCCTCCTTCAGCAAATCCTACCGGCGTGTGCCACCACAACTGTTTCCGATTAATTTTAATCATGTGTATGTGTGTGTGCTCTGTGTGAGTATGTGCATGTGAGTGATGGTGCCTAGAATCCAGAAGAGAATGTTGGATCAACTGAAGCTGGAGTTACAGGTAAGTTACCTGATATGGATGCTGGGAACCAAAGCCAGATCCTCTGCTTAACTGCTGAGCTACCTGTCCAATTCAAAAGTCTGTGTTTTGTTGTTTGTTTGATTTGTTATGTTTTGTTTGTTTGTTTGTTTTGTTTTGAGGAAGGGTTTCTCTGTGTAACCCTGACTGTCCTGGATCTTGCTCTGTAGCCCAGGCTGGCCTCGAACTCACAGAGATCTGCCTGGCTCTGCGTCCCTAGTGCTGGGATTAAAGGCATGCACCCCCACTACCCGGCTGTTTTTTGTTTTTAACAACAGAAACTAGACGAGCGCACCCAGTCAAAACTGTGGTGAATTTACTTTAAATTGTACATTCACTAAAATAAACCCTGGAAGCAGTGCAAGTCTGTTACTGAGGTCATGGACTGCTGCACAAGTCAGTGCTTTGAAGACCCACAGACGGACGCTCTGAACTCAGTGCTTCACAAAATGTTCAGAAGCAGAAACAAAAAGAAGAGAGAAGCCCAAGGTGCTTGATGTTGGATCTGCTTGGACAGTCAGTAAGAACCTGTGCTCACGGACTTCCGTTTCCTTCCTCGCCAGCATCCGTCTTATCGGGACACAAGGATGACCCACCTCCTGTCTAGGGAGTGTGACAGTACAGTGAGGCTATCCCCATCATTCCGACTCCTCACTTAGTCCAGTCTGTGGGCACGATCATCCGGCAGATGCTGAGCTACAGGCATGACAGGCCAGCCTCTGTTACTATGGCTACATGCATGCACACAGAGCACAAACACTCTCCCACACACAGCCCCATCCCCCTTTCTTACCATCATATTGGGTGGGGTCTGTCATTAAAGCTCTGAGCTCTTTAAGTGCTGCTTTGAGCAGTCCCAGGGGCTGTTCAGCACAGTCGGGCTCCGTCCTTTTTCCTGGGGTGGCATCTGAACCGGGGAAGGACATTTTAAAAATCAGGTCGAATGGTAATAACACTCAGTGGGATTCTCTATTATAAATAGAAAAAACTCATATACTTGGGAAATGCTGATGTGTACTGCTTTTGTGTGGACAGCACTCAGTCCCTGGGAGCTTTTCTCTTTGATGCTGGATATTACATATAATATCAAAAATAAAAATATTGAGACTGGAGATGTTACTCCATAGCAGAACATGTGTCTGTAATGTACAAAGCACTAGGTTTAATTCCTAGCAACATATTTTTTGTTGTTGTTGTTGTTTTTGTTTTGTTTTATCATTTTTGGGTTTTAGAGATAAGGTTTCTTTGTATAACCACCTTGGCTGTCCTGGAACTTGTTTTATAGTCTAGGCTCTGCCTCCTGAGTGCTGGAATTAAAGGTGTGCGCCACCACTGCCCAGCACAACATACATCTTTTTATATGTGCATTGGTGTTCTGCCTGTATGCATGTCTGTGTGAGGGTGTCAGATCTTGTAGTTACAGACAGTTGTTAGCTGCCATGTGAGTGTTGGGAATTGAACTCATGACCTCTGGAAGAGCAGTCAGTGCTCTTAACCGCTGAGCCATCTCTCCAGTCCCCCACAACGTACATTTTTAAAAACAAATTTATAAACAAGTTTAAGGAAAGAAAAGAGAAAGCCTGAAGAGATAGGTGAGGAATTAAGAGCACCACCTGCCCTTCCAGAGAACCCAGATTAGAGTCCCAGCAACCATACTGTGGCTCACAACCATCTGTAACAAATATCACATTTTCTTTCATATGCAGCATCTAGATTTAAAAAAAAAAAAAAAAAAAAGAAAGTAAAAAGAAGACTATTTGAGGGGTTGGGGATTTAGCTCAGTGGTAGAGCGCTTGCCTATAGGCAAGCTCAAGGCCCTAGGTTCAGTCCTCAGCTCCAGAAAAAAAAAAAAAAAGACTATTTGGGAAGAGGAAGGGGACCAATGGGAGACGGGTGGACAAGAGAGTAACTAGTGTGATAAGTGACCGATACATCACATATGTATGAGAAAGTCATAATGAAATCCAGCATTTTGTATAATTGATATAGATTAATTAAAAAAATGTAAACAGAGCACTTGTGATGTCATCCAGTTATTCAGTTGGTAGATTCCTGCCCAACACGCACAAAGCCCTGGGTCCGATACCAGCACCACACATAGAACTGGGCATGGCTGCACATGCCTGTAATCCCAGCACTTGGGAGGTGGAGGCAGGAGGCTCGAAGGTTCAAGGTCCTTCTCAGCTAGCTACACAGAGAGTTCAAGGCTGGCCAAGGATATGAGACCCTGTTTAAGTAAATCAATAAATAATTGAAAACTCAAAGGCAAAACGAGCGACTCCTTCCGATGCCCCTCTCACTGTCGTCCTGCTGGCCGTCAGAGCTACACGGCATTGAAGAACGGGGTGGAGAGAACATGCCAGCCACACACTGCAGAGATGGCGGCTCACTGACCAGCTTCCCAGAGCCAACAAGATCTACCGCTGTTCTCAGAGGTGCAAAGATCCCCAGCACAGGGTTGGACAGACGGCTCAATGCTTAAGAGCTCCAGCTGCTGGGTTTGATTCCTCGAACCCACACGGTGGCCCCCAACTGTCTGCAGCTCCAGTTCCAGGAGATCCAACCCCTCTTCTGGCCTCTGCAGACACCAGGCCAACACAGGATGCACAAACATACACACAGGCAAGAACACCCATACACATAAAATAAAATTAAAACAAAACAAAACAAAACAAAACAAAAACCCCTGCAACCTGCTACAAACCAAACTGTCCAGTTAGAAAATAATTATACCTGACTGCACTATGCTGTGGGCCTTGAGCTACGTGTGGAGATACCAAACACAGAGGTGGGCTTCTACCTCATGCTTCCCAGGAGGTGGGAAGGCGGCTGACTGTCAAGGCCGCCACGACAGTAACCACAAGCTGCTAACACATTGTTTGGTCCCCAGGTGCCGTAGTCAGGCAGTCACAGGCCTCCTGCACCCAGGTGAGAACAACCTGACCACTGAGGACGCCGATGCGGGTGCCGGTGGCAGACACATCACAGAAATGGAAAGCACAGGAACAGAGGGTGACCAAGAGCCTTACCTCCGGGCTGCTTCTCTTCAGCAGTGGCACAGGCTTGGCGGTAGGCATCGTATAAGGATGAGGGAATCTTATCTGCTCTACATAAAAAGAAAGCAATGCCCACGTCACCCATGACAGTGTTCAGGTTTCTGATTCCAAAGCCATTACACCAGTGTATATTGTATTGTTCTGTGTTTTATCTCTTTTTTTTCTGTGCTGGGGATTAAACCCACTAGGCAAACACTTTACCATAGAGCTACACCTCTAGCCATTAATTAGTTTTAGAAGAAAAGAAATCACATTTATGATTTTAAAAGTATATATATATATATATATAGAGAGAGAGAGAGAGAGAGAGAGAGAGAGATTTCAGTGGTACCTACAATTTTATAACATGTCATGTATTAGTAATAATACTGAATGCTAATTTTAGAAGATCATTAGAATATTCAGGTGACACCCAGCAGTCTGTGTGATCCATCTCCAGACTGCCTCTCTTACGATGATTCTGGCCTGTCGGCTGGGTTTTTGCTTTAGAGCACAGGCTTCAGTCTGAAGTTTGCCAATTTCAGGTGGTCGGGTCTGAGGTAGCCTCACAGCATTATGAGAATATTTGTGCTGAACTCTTCCAAGTCCATTTCCAAGGCCATTCCAGAGCCATGTGTTACACAGAGGGATGTCCAGGTAGGTGTGACAGTCCTGCCCATGCCACCAGGTGGCTGTTGCCAATGCCACTGCAAACACATGGACAGCCCCAGTTCCTCACTATGAGAAATACCGACAGTGAATTCGGCCTCAGACAGGGCTAGGAGTA